CCGCCCCCTGCCCTCCCAAGTGCCCCTCTGCCCAGAACACCCTCCCCGGATGTCTGCCTGGAAACTGCTTACTCCCCCCGAGGCAGCCACACGCGCCCACTCTTCTATGGCGGCAGAGAGCGGGTGAGGAGGAGCAGGAGGGAGGAAGGAAGTGGAGACGGGGCAAGGCCTGGGCAGCGGCAGAGGGCGCGGAGTGGGCATGGCCAAGCATGAGGAGAGCAGCCAGAGCTCCTCCTGCCTTGTAAAGCAGACCCTGGTCGCCCCATAACCTGGAGGGACACGAAGGGAGCAAGTAAGTCATACAGAGAAAGCCAGCGGCAAAGTGGGGTGAGGACAGGGGGAGCAGGCGGGGCTGCGGAGGGGCGACAGGGCTGGAGCGAGCGGAGGAGAGAGGACGCAGAGGACGCGGAGGAGGAGCCGAGGCCGGGTCTCCAGGAACACAGCGACCAGGGCGCGCGAAACGGTCGCAGAGAGAGTGGCCGCCCCTCCTCCTGCCCTGATGCCCGGGCGGAACGGTCCGGTGGCAGAAAGCGACAGGTGGACATGGAAAGGACAGAAGTGGACGAGCATCTGACAACGGCAGGATTTCCAGTGAGCTCCGGAGCGGGAGCGGCCACGCCAGACGCAGGCGGGTGTGACGCGAGCACGTGACGCGTGTGGCTGCTGCGGTTAAGTGAAAAGGTATCAAGAGATGGACTTGAATCAGGCGCCAACTAGCCGTGGAGAGTGAACGTGCTTGGGGAGGTGAGCGGGGTAGGAAAACCCAGCCTCACCTCTGGCTTTCCATCTACCGCAGAGAGAAAAATCACAGCACAAGCCGCTGAGAGGGAGAAGCTGTTCCACAAACAGCGCGCCACGGAAGCGTCTTGGAGTCCACCTTTTCTTTCCAGAAGTGCGCAGGCCGTGCAGCGGTGGGCAGGTCTCCCCTCCAAGGGGCGCTGTTTCCCGCCCTCCCGGGAGGAGCTCAGACCCCTGCGCGCGGCCGGGGACGCAGCTGCGTCTCCGTGGCCTGTAACACGTGCTGCGGCTTCCTCGTCAACCACACCCCGCAGTCCACTTAGAAAAAAATAGCTCCGCGCCTGCAGGAGCATGTGTTACACACACACATTTAGCGTCTGAAAGTTTTCAATGCTAAAACGAGAGTGGCGTCCACGCCTCCCGAAAATAACCCTCCTCGGTGATCCCAGAGCCGGGCATCGGCACCCACGGAGCCCAGCAGTCCCCCCACTTGTCCAGGCCAGAGCTGGGGGGCACAGGGCCCCGGGCTGCACGCTGAGCCAGCGCTGGGCACGGGAGCCCCCCTTCCGGGGACGAATCAATCATCTCGGAAGATGCCAGCATCTGCCCCAGCCATTTTATATCAGAATAAATGGCAGATGGTGGTGTTTTTATATTTAATCAGTTCCACCAAACGCAGTTCCCTCTCGCATAAAGCGAAGCCATCTGCGGCGTGTAGGTGGGCAGATCCCGCGAAGTGCCCGCGACGAGCCTCCCCTCCCAAGGCGGGGCCGCGGCGCACGTGTGGACACGGGCACGGGAAGTCCGAAAGCCTGGAACCTGCAGCCGCTGTTTTTAATAAACACCTGCATTTGATGGCGCTACGTGTTTACGGCGACGCCCTCGGACGAGCTCCGTGCCGAGGGGTTTACATCCTGCGCGGCTGCTCTTCCCGCCGCGCCCGCAAGGCCCGTCCACACCGCCCGCCCGGACACACGCCCCCAGAGCCCTCGGCGCCACCCGGGCCCCCCACGGCCGCTCCGCCTCCGCCCCGACCCAAGTTCTCAGAGCAGGCGCCTTGGCCGGAGTCCGCGGCCTGATACACACGGGCGTGCACGCTCACTCGCACACTCACACATTCACCCTCACACACACAGTCACACCCTCACACATTCACCCTCACACACACCCCCCTTCAGACCCTCACACCCTCTCACTCTCACACGTAACCTCACACACACCCCTCTCAGACACGCACCCTCACTCACACCCTCACATCCTCACACCAACACAACTCACACTGTCAGCGCAGGTGGCTCCAACCAGGTGCAAGAACCAGAATGCTTAATTTCCACACCCCGGCAGGCGGACCCCACCTTTCCTGGTCACGGAGCAGTGAGCGATCTTAGCACGCACAGTTTTCATTTTATCCTCCTGGACTTGGAGGCCAAGGTCAGCACCCCAGGCCACAGAGCAGCCTGTCCCCAGGGCACGTGAGCCACACCAGCGCCCTGACCCCAGGTGGGGGCCTGCAGGTGCACACAGCTCTGGGGCCTGGGTCGCACCTCGGACACGTGCCCACATGCACACAGCTCCGCCCAGACACAAGGGGACTCGTCAGCAGGTCAGATAGGGCCTGGTGACGTCATCCCAGGGTCATGTCAACTTTAACCAGCTCCAGACACTCTAAGTCCAAATTCCTTGGCTCTTCCAGCCCGGCCTCAGCTGCCTCCCTCCCCATCTGCTTTCTGCCTTCGGAAACTTCGGGGACGTCTCCTGGGCGCACCCACCATGAGGCCTGCCCGGCTCCCTGCGGCCACACCACCTGCTTCCCTCCGCCCCTCGTGCTCATCGGCCCCTGGTGTCACCACTGCTCGTCCAGCCCTGTCTCCTCCACGGGGCTCCTAGGTTTTTAATTGTGTCATTTGTCACCGAGGTAACACCGATGGGCCACTACCCATGATTATAACGCACAGGGTCACTGCTCTTCAGGGGAACGTGGCCACACCCACCGCCAAAGCCCCATTCCCTCCGCCACAGTCCAGGGCCCCGCCCCACCCCAGGTCACATCTCTAGGCTTGTTCTGGTTTGGCTTGTCCCTTTGCTTTGTTTCTTTATGTCCCACACATGAGTGATCTGCTTTCTCCTTCTGACTTACCCCTCAAGGCCCACCCGGACATTGCAAATTGGCAAGACGGGGTCATGTTCAGAGCTGAGTAGTATTCCGCCCCATGCCCAGGGCCCTTCAGTTGTTTCTGTAACTTGGCGACTAAAAATGTTCACATTCTGCTTTGCTCTTCCCTGTGTCTGCCTGTTCCAGGCCGATGCCACTATGCCAGCCTGGCACAGAACTGGGAGGCAGTGGATGTTGGTGGGTGGGTGGGTCGATGGAGGAAGGAAGGACGGACGGAATGAGGAAATGAATGAATGAATTGCCGGCATTTGCTATACGCAAGGAGAGTAGAAAATGACAGGCTGACTATTTATGCTCCAGATCAACACAAAGGACACAAGGCCGTCCAGAAGAGAAGGCGGAAACAGGACGGGGGCAATGAGATGAGGGTGGGCAGGCCTGGAATGCCAGATGTCTAGGAGTCAAATAAAGGAAGCCCACCCCAGGAGCGGGTGGCCACTGTGCCCCCGAGGCCCCCAGGGCCTGCGGGACACCCCTCCTCCCGCCTGCCGGTCAGTCAGCCGTGCACCCCATGCTCTCAGCACCACGGCGTCAAGGACAAGCCCCCTGACCCTCCCGTGCAACTGAAGGTGCAGACACCTGGGGGAGGACAGCCTGATGGCTGCGCCCCACACGGGACAGGGAGCTCAGCTGCCGAGAGGAAGTTGATCTGCAGACCAAGATAAAGAGAGGCGCGACAGCTCCTATTTCCTGAGCTTCTGCACTTGCAAGAGACAGAATCCCCGCAAACAAAGTCTCGGTGGACAGAGGGTGGGCGGAGCAGCCCGAACAAGGGAAATGCTGCCTGCAGTCACGGCATGGAGGCCCCCAAGACCCCAAAGCCTCTGCAGGCCCCTCCACCTCCCCTGCTGGATGAGAGGTCGCCAGGCCCGGCGTTCAGAGGAAGCGGCCCCAGGAAGATGAAGGGCAGAAATTTTCAAAGCTTCCCCTGGCTGTCCAAGCGCCTTTGCCTCACGGTCATGGCCGGGGGAAGACCGCACTCGTGCCAGAAAGCCTTTAAGAACGACCAAAACAGAATCCACCGTTATTCTGAGTCCCACTTCTGGCTCATACTCATTAACGCATCTCTATCCCTTTGATAAAGAACGTGCATTTATTTAAACAGCACTTCTTGTTTGCCTCGCTCCCTCCCCTGCTAGAAACTTCCAACTCTTGGCAAAGAACCGGCAGCCGAGTCCGGCCACACCCTCGTGAGGAAGGTGAGCGGAGTCCCGGGCCTTGCAGCTGGACTAAGTGGCCAACTGGATTCGCAGGCTGGAGGGAACCCGGCCTCCACCCGGCTTAACCACCAGTGAACCACTGTGACATGGAGTAAGTTACTCTCGCCCGCCCCCCTCCCGAACTTCTGTGGGCTTCACCCGTGAACGGGAGACAATAGCCATGCATCTCCCAAGCAGGGCCGAGATTTCTGGGAAATCCGTGCTCAGAGCCCCTGACCCGGGGCTTGGCGTCGCGGGCCCTGGCCAGAGCTCATTTCCGCCTCCTTCCCGTCTCAGCTGCCAGGAAAGAATGTTCCACGCGATACACGAGCTCACCTGCTCCCGCAGCAGGTTCCATGCAGTCGTCATCGCTGCCCACACATTAATATACATAAGCTGGATGCTGTAACATTATTAGCATAATGAATATTCTAATTATGACTTTAACATTAAAGCTGGCACCAAACACTAATCCTTAGGGAATACCAATTGCCAAGCATGTAATTACCAACCTGTGACGGGGCGCTGAAAGGACTGAACTTGTGAAATCAAAGACCCATCACCCTTTTCAAAACACAGGAGGAAATCTGCCACGCAGAGCACACGCGCGGCCTCTCGGCAGGCCACCTGGTGCCGCTTCTGCCCGGAGTGTCCCGGGCGGGACAGCCCCGGTGAGCGCCGTGAACCAAACCAGGAGCTGGTGGGGGTGTCGGCTCAGACACCCCGTTTCTCTCTGCGGGTTCAGCAGCGCAGCTCCACCCTGCGCCTGGGGGTCTGAGAAGTTAGATAATCGGGGCTGGACCCAAAACCAGCCGATACCCTCTCCCCCCACCCCGCCCCTGCGCTTTTTGGACCACGTTTCTGGAGCCTTCGCGGGCGGAGGTGCAGCGATGACCGGTTTGTCCCTCGAGCGTCTGCAGCGAACGCTGGTGGGGCCGGGCCTGAAGCAGCCCCAGCGCCAAGCAGCCCCCCCGACCCCGGTCCAGGTGCCACAGGCCCGGCCAGAAGCTCCCACCAGGCGCCCGTCCCCACCTGACGCGTGGGACCCCTGGAGTCCATCAACTCACACGAATAATTCCTGCTGGCTTTCATTAAAGGAAAAGAAACAGGTTGGGCTGGCTGCAAACCCGGCCGCGAGTGCCAGGGGAACGGAGGGTTTGAAGCGGGCGCCGAGCCGGCCCAGCGGAGGCCCACCCTCTGCACGCTGGCTGCCCGACCTGGCCAGTGGCTCGGGGGGGACACCCACAGAAGGCAGAGGATACCCACAGGTCAGGAAGCCGGAGAGCGGAAGCTGATGGGAAGCTGGCCCCGCCGGGTGCTGACCCCGGGCTGCCCTAAGTCGCTGCCATAAAAACTGAGGGTCCAAACTGAGCCCACGCGGCTCTGTGGTGGGTTCAAGAAGTCAGAATCGCCCTGGCAACCGGCCCTGGCAACCGGCCCTGGTAACTGGCCCTGGCAACGGACTGCCCATGCAGGCAGCTGGGCTGGGGCCGCCCACCCCGGGAGACCCCGCTGGCCCTGCTGGGGCCCAGAACCCTAAAGGCCCGGTCGCCACAGAGGCCGTCGGCCGGAAAGCCGAGTCCTCTCTTCTCGGGAGCTGGTGCCGAGGGCCCGGTGAAGGGAGGCAGAGACCAGGCCCCGGTCCCATCCAGACCCCGCCCTGAGGTCAGGAGACGCCCACGGAGCTGAGCAGCAGGACAGCAGGATGGCGGGGACCAGGCGCGCAAGGTGACTGAGAGGTGAGCAGAGCTTGAGGGCAGAGACGCCTGCTAGGTGATTGCAATAATAAGCCCAAATCCAAATTCAGACCTTCAAGAGGTCTGAAGGCTGTGAAAGTGATTAGACCCAGTGACCGATCGGTCCCCATATTGTGGGGACAGACGAGAGGGTAACTCCCAGGCCCCGACTGGGGAGCTGACTCCTCAGAAAGCGAACAGAGCAGTCCCAGAGCTGCTAGCAGGCACAGGGCGCTCACAAGTGCCCCGCTCTGAGCTGGTGACAACCTGAGCTGGGGAGTGCTCAGCCTCGCCAACTGATGTCCACGACGGGCATTTCCACCCCAAATCCTCGCAGAGGAAAAGAAGGTGGAGGCGCAGGCAGAGAAGAGGTTGCCCAGAGCAGCCGGCACTGGCCTGCTTGCCAAGGGCGCTGAGCAGCTTCAGGGCAGGGCAGGCGGCCGCACTGAGCCTGGGTGTTGAGTTAATGGGAAGGTCGCCGGCAAAGGGTCATGGGCAAAGGCGACCGTAGGCACCCGGGCCCAGGGCGCCCAGGGTGAGGGCCTGGGAGTCACACTCATTCTTGACGTCCCTGGCACAGCCCTTCCACCCTCCACTCCCCCCGGCTCAGAGCCCGGATGCTAACTCCTGGAGGGCATGCGCGTACACACCCCCTAACCAGGGACACCCCATCCTGGTGACATCCCTCGTGCTCCCCCATGTGAGTCCACTCCTGGCCCCAGGTGCCCAGAGGCAGTCAAGGTCCAGTAGATGCACCCCTAAGAGACCGCTGCCCAGTAGGAGAGTGGTGGCGGCTCCACGGCAGGTGGCCATGGGTCCAGGTATCTAATTTAAATTCTGGGGTGCCCACGGCCTGACTGGGTTTGGAGTATAAATGCCCGGTAAACGGGACTTTGTTTGCTTACTGTCGAGTGAAACTGCAGATGCTCAGGCTGCCTTCAACAGAATTTCCCCCCAAACAATCCATATCCACCCCTTCCTGCTTCTTCCAGGCGATCATCCCCCAGGTGTCCCTATTCGCCCATTCGGGGGGTACAGGCTCTGCCGAGCATGCCCTGAGCCAGGCCACGGTGCCAGGGCCAGGGCCAGGGCCATGGCAGCTACAGGACAGGGCTCCTGCCCTCGCGGTTTGGCTGGAAAGGGACATAGACAAGATCCCTGCCAGAGGAGGAGTAGGCAACGGCTGGGGTGCAGCGGGATCCCTAAAACTTCACCCTCAAGCCCTCTGTCATCTGGCTTCCCGCGAGGCAAGGGTGGTGCCCAGCCAGGAGAGGTGCCTGGTTTGTTTGCACAAGCCCATCTGTCACAGCCTCCCAGGATGCGCGCAGCCGGAGCCGAAGCTCACAGGAACACGTCTGCCGCGTCCCCACAAACAGCTGGACGGTGCTCGCAGGATCGCCGATGGTCACCGGGCCCGGCCTCGGGGCTGCCTTCACATTTCAATCTGAAAACGTGCAAATGCGGTGAAAATGGCAACACTGCATGTTCAAACTATACAGCCCGGAAGTATGTCACCTCAGCCCCCCACGTGCAGCAAGAGGTCTCCATATGCTGCCCCCCGCCCCGAAGCCCTAGGGCAGAGTCGCCCAGCACACGGTGAAAGGCCTGCGTGTGGCACGTGCCGGGTGGTGGTGACACAGCGGCGTGTTCCCAGGGGCAGGACACAGTTACGGGTGGTGGCCATGCAGAAGGGGCAGGACAGGCTGCCCCCGCGGGCACCACGAGTGGCTTAGCGTGCAGACCACAGCACTCGCCTGCCTGGGACACTCGCAGGACCCCCAACCACGTTGGGCGATGAGGGTCCAAGTGGGACCAGCCCGGACTCCCAGAGTGGACTCACGGCGCTGCCTGGCCATCAGGGGTGCTGCCACATCCCAGCACCTGGGCAGAGGGAGAGTGCGGCCAGGACACCCGATGGCCCAGGTCAGGGCAGGGCTGTGGGCCTCTCTGTGCCTCCGGGGCCTGGCAGGGTGCTCCTTGGAGGCCCCACTCGGGACAGCAACTGCGAGGAGTGACCAGTTTGTGGCTCTGCAGGGTGACCCCCACCTCTGCTCACAGCCTCCAACCAGGGCCGCCAGGGACTGGCCTCCCAGACCCGCCGGGGGTGGGTCCTCGGATTCCGCGGGCTCGCAGGCTCGAGCAGGTTCCGGGAAGCGACTGTGTGCAGAGAAACTCACAGGAGGATGATGCAAGCAGATGGTAATTTACTAATAACCCTAATAGCTGCCAGTCACGGCGCAGTCACCAGGGACAGAAACCAAGTCCCACGTCGACGCGTCTCATTTCCAACGCCGCGTGCCGGGCTCGGGAGGGAGAGACTCCCTCGTGGTCCTCGCGTGCGGCAGAGCCAGGGAGGCCACGGCGGAGGAGGACGCGTCTCAGCAGGTGGCCCCGCCCCGGGCCCTGCAGTCCTCTCTGGGTGCAGGAAGGGCGCCGTTTCTGGGTGCAGGAAGGGCGACCCCCCACAATGGGCGTGGGCAGAGGCCATAGGCGGGGCTCTTGCGAACCCAGCCCTCTTCTGCCTGTCAGGAGGGCCTGAGATCACTCAGGTCAGAGCCGCCCCGGCCCCCAGCTCACCAGCTCACAGGCACTCGGTGATGCACAGATGGGCCTTTCAGGAAGAAGTGGGGAGCCGGGGGGTCCAGCAGAGAGGACAGGGCCACGGAGGGGGCGCCAGCACCGAGCTGGAAAGGGGTTATTTTGCAAGACTCATCCCCGTCCTTTCTGTATTGGAGCATCTGCCTAAGAAGCACGACTGACCCCTCCGCCCCCCAAACCAGCTTCCACCGGGCCCGCCATCCACCCCGTCCCCCGCATCACAGTCCTGCTGGCCAGCGCGACCACCGTTAAACAGTGAGGTCCTGGAAAACTTTAATGGTTTAAAACTGAAACTGAGAGGAGGGAGAACGACCAAGTGTTTGTCATCATGGTCACACTGTGGTTTGGAAACATAAGAAGAGAGCATTTGAAAGGAGAAACTCTGTTAAAAGAATACAGCAGTTAGCACGGGAGTAAACCCCCCTCAGGGATTTGGAAAATCAACAACATACGACCTTTCTTCTACGCCCCCTTCCTAAAGGAATTTATTTTTTTAAGGATTTATTTATTTATGCACACAAGCGCTGCAGGGTGCAGGCCAGAGGTACGGGGGTGAGAGGACTCGCCAGAGACAGAGCGGGGAACAGAACAGGCAGAAGGACTGAAACACACGGCTGCGGGGAGCAGCGGGGAGACAGCAGAGTCTGCTGCGCCCTGTGGGTAGCTCCCTGGCCGGGGATGGAACTCGTGCAGTGCTCCGCAGGTAGCATCACAGTGCCACGACTTCACCCCTTGTGCCCCCAGGGAGGCCCTCTAAAGAAATGTAATAATTATCTTGCTGCTAAATGCACACTCCCCAGCACACTGGCTGCCGAGATCCAATGAAGAGACTCGAAGTCGCTGCTCCCCTTGGCGGGGCTGTGACGCGGCTGATCCAGAGAGGCAGAGCGTGAGCACAGCCGAGTCTGCAGTTGGGAGAAGCTCCTCACCTGCATCCTCCGGGGAAGCAAGTTACAGAAATCATTTTTCATCTGAGGGTCGAGATCGATGCAATAAACCGAAATCAACATGACACGGAGCTCAGATATGCTGATGTTAGGTGACCCGAGATGCTTGAACTTACCAAAGAAGAAGGGGGGAAATGAAATAGAGGGCATCCGTGTAACTTCTCGTGAAACACGGGACAGGTACTCACAGCAATTCTGCACCAGAAAATACCACAGATTCACTTCCGCACAGGAGACGACTCATACTGAAACACCGAAAATTCTGCCGGGCTCGGGCGTCCCTCTCAACTGACGTTATTATGCTGAAGTGCTGCACTTTCTAATCATGCTGATTTTAATGCTGAAGCCGTCATCACGCCCATCTACCCAAAGACCCCAGCCCCACAGCTCCGCACGGAGCAGAGCCCGGCAGCCGCCGTGAAGCACGGGACATACTTCGAGCGTGTGACGGCAGCGGAGGAGGAGAGCCTGGCCCCGCACGGGTGGGTCACACAGAGGAAACCACGGATGTTTTCCACATGATTGTATATCGTCTGCAGCAGAAAACACTGACCTCGGTTATCCCAGAAATTGAAAATTTTAAAGAGGATTTCATATAAAATCTGCCAAAAGTGTATTTACATAGAAATAAAGCATAACCTCCCACGCATGAGAAGTCACAGAGCACATCATGGTCTTCATATGAAAAACATGTTCTTTGATAATCTGAGTGAAATTTACAGACCTTACAAGCTAACACGTCAACAAAAATTCCTGAATTGCTGAAACAAGCGCCAAGAGAGGATATTAGAACAGGCGGCGGCGCGGTACAAATGCTCCCCCAAACTTGAATGTCTCTAGAGTTTCACATATCTTCCTAAAACATGGTGGAGACCTCCAGTTTTAATCCAGAGGAGGAAAGGAGGCGCTGCCATCCTCTTGCAAAACCAGCCTGCAAGTTCTGACGAAGCTGAGGGGCCCGGGTAGCCCCAACCATGGGTGACGGCAACAGTGAGAAGGCGCGACGGTCTGACCGCGCAGATCGCGACAGGGAAGCGGAGATGGGACGAGAGGGACAGACGCTGGCCCGAGGACCGCCAGCGCGGGGCCCCGTGGCTCGTCCCTCACCGTGTACTCAGAGAACGAACAGCATTCACCTTGACGAGAGAGGCCCTCGGAGCAGGTGCAGGGAGCCATGGTTTTCCAACCACGCTTGACGAAGCCAAGTCGCCAGAGCTCAGAAAAGATGTGGAAGGGAAAAATAAAACCACCCTAGAGATGGCAGCCACTCGGGGGACTGAAGCAATTGCTAAAACCCGCAGAACACAAAGCCAGGCTGCAAGGCGCGGCCCCGTCCGGAGAGCAGGGTGAGAGCGAGGCGTCCCGTCACCTCCTCGCTCTGGGTGGATTTGAATGTTGGCGAGTCGGGCAAGCAGAGCTTGAACACACCGACTTCAACCAACACGAGGGAGGACATGTTGGCGGTGCCGCCCATCCACGTGCGTTAAGGATTCTGGCCTTTGGAGACTTCCTAGGTTCATAAAAATTCTGGGTCTCAAAACTCACACCTCGATAAGTGCTGAAAGAAATAATGGCCGTCCTGAGAGTTATTCGGTGACAACAGGCTTCACAGCCACGTTCAACCCAAGCACCTAGTGTCGTCTGCTTCTGTGACCTTAATTGCAGGGCGTGTTGGTCACGATGTGGTGGTTGCTGGTGCTTTTCACCGCCTTGGTGCCCGCGAACGGGACGGGGCAGATGCAGGGACCCAGCCCAGCGCGGGCCGGAGGTGACCTGAGCAAGCTCTCGAGCCCCGTCAGGCCCCCCTCAGGGTCCCCAGCTGCGAGGTGCAATGGCGGCAGCTCCCCACCGCAGGCCTGCTAAGAAGGGGGCCCAGCGAGCCCACTCTCGCCAAGGCCGCAGGCGGGGCTGGCCCGGGCCAGTGGTGCAGACGTCGGGCTGCTTCTCGGATGTGGGCTCTCTGTGCAGTCCCAAAACGTGGAGCCTCCTCGGCTCCCACAGAGGAACGAGAGGCCCGGGGAGCACACGGGCAGACAGTTTCGCTCCCAATTCCCCGTTGTGGCTTCGCTGTGTGGGAAGGTCAGAGGCCCGAGGAGACGTGTGCGCCGCCTCTGGGCCCCAGGACTTCTACTTCTCCTATCGCAGAGTCTCGCGCTCCAAGACGAAGGCGGCCTCCTGTCCGGGGCGGGCGAGGCGGTTGCACCCGCGGTCCCCGTCACGCCGACCAGCGCTGGTGGCGGGCAGGGGCGGGCTGTGGACCCGCGGGTCACACGCCCTCAGACGCGGGAATCGCGACGCTCTCCAAGGCCGCACTTCAACGCCAAGCGCAGGTTCACGCTGGCCGACCGCGGTGCCCAGGTGAGAGGAGGTGAGGCCATCCGGCTGGAGGCGGACACTGTCCCCCCACATGTGGACCGGCCGGAGCTGCAATAGGAGCCGACGACGGGGAGCCGTGGTGGCGTCTGGGCTGTCCCCGTCCATCGTGACGCTAACATCCCCCTAATCGATGTTCGGGGACTTCAAAGGGTTTCATTTTGCAAAATATTTGTGTTTTGGAAAACACACTTCACCCGATTATCCTCTTTATCAGTCCTGGGGTTGCCTGCAGGACAGGGACACGCGTCCTGCCCCTTGGTCCCCAGAAAGCATCACTCACCAGGGTCACGAGTCCCATCTACACCCCTCCCCTCTTCCCTCCAGGGATGGCCGGGGCAGGGACCCTCCTGGCCTCTCCAGCACTCTGGGGGGACCCCCCCATTGCCCTGAGTACACATCACAGAGGCCCCGCTGTGGGGGTGCAGCCTCACGGCCCCCGTGACTACAGTCCCAGGCCCCCAGTGACACACTCCGTGAGGGCCGCTGAGGCAGTGGATGGCCGTCCCCACCTGGCTGCGCTCAGGCCCTGGGTCCACCCGGCGAGGTACATCTGCTGCCGCCCCCGAGCACACTCACAGCAGCACTGCCCGGCCCCCCGCCAGCCCCCGGGACCACCTAGAAACCGCCGCCCGCCGCGGAAGCCCTCCCTGCTCCCTCCTCCCGCCGAGCAGGTGATGCCGCAAGTGTTTATTAAAAACAGGACACTGGTTAAAATACAAAAAAAAAAAAAAAACCCGCTGGTATTCAATACAGAAACTGAATTCATGCAATAAAAAGGGTTTCTCTTAAGGCCAAAAGCATAAAAATCTCCCAGAACACCAAATCTGCAGCGCAGCGGGCAGCGGAGTCGTGAGTCGTGACCTTTACTGTCAGTGAGCGCCTAGAAACTTCCTCCTGTCCTTGAAAGAACGACTTTCAAAGTCAACCCGAAACCCAATTCTGAAAACATGCAAATGTGCAGAGCGAGCCGCCCCGCTGGAAAACCCGTCCCCCCCCCCCCCCCCAGCGTGGCCCGGAGCAGCCTCTGCAGGTCGGGGCTGCAGCGCCTGGGGAGACACAGGGGTGGTGGGCTGACCCGCGGTGCTCCTCTGCGGGGTGGCCGCCCAGCCCGCTTCACACTCCGCCCACTCGGGGGCCGCGGTCCTCCCCTGTCGCTCCTAGACCGGCGGAGGGTAGGGGTGAAGCTAGGGCGCTGTGATCCCCTGTTTCTCTCGTGCTGATTATGGTAACAGACCGCGGGAAGGCTGCAGTTTCCCACTGACGAGGCCCTGAGTGACTGAGGCTCTGCTTTTCTGTCTCCCCAGGCCCCGGTGCAAGTCAACAAGCACCCCAGATGGTTTTCCCAAGGGCTGGGTGTTTGAGAAGCACAAGAGGGCCCAGGCTGGGTGCCCTGCTCCCGAAGGCTCCCCACCTCGAGGCGTGCGGGGCCGACACGCAGGGGCACTCATCACCTGTTCAGACGTGAGCAGGTCGGGCCACGTCCCTGGGGGTGCGGTTCTCCAGCCCGACCCTCCCCTGGGCCTAGCTGCACACGGGCTGAGAGCACCAGCCACAGTCCTGCTCTCCCTCCCTCCCCCTAAGCAAGCACCAGGGCGCAGGTAAGAAGGGGTGCTGGTAGTGGGGTGCCCGAGGCTTCCCTGGTGGTTCCCCCGTGTGCAAGGCCAGTCTGAGGAGGGTGAGCTCCTGGGTGTCCAGCTCTACCCCCTCCCATGGGGCTACAAACCCTCTTCCTGGTCACCTGAGACCCCCAACACCCACTGTCTGATCTCTGCCCCCCAAGAACTCCCAGCAGTACTTCGTGGTGACCTCCCGCCTGCGGCTACCCCACCCCCACCCCATTTCTGGCCGCAGGGACCGCAGGCCCAGTTGTCGAGGCCTGCCAGAGGTGCTCTGGCCCATCCCTGGCCGTGCCCGCGGGCCCCACTGACAGTGGGCAGTGGACGTGCCTCTGCCCCTCCTCGAACGTCCTTCCCTGGACCTGGTGGAGATGCGGCCTGAGCTGGGCAGCGCCGGGCAGGCTCCCTCTCGCTGGCAGCGTTCCAGGCCTGTCCTGCTGCAGCTGGGGGACAGAAGCCGGGAGTCTGGAGCCTCTGCTCCCTCGGGCTCCGCCCTGCAGGTGTGCGGCGCAGGCAGGGGGTGGTGGGGACGAGGAGACTCAGGTGGCCCCGCCGGGGCTGAAGCAAGCCGTGCAGGAAAGGCGACTCCAGAGGGAGGTGGGACCCTAGAGCCGGCTTCCCGGGGTTCTGGCCCCCACATGCCAGGTGGGTCTCCGCAGACACGATCTGCTCAGCCCACCTCACGCCACCTGAGGCAGGGGCATCGTCCCTGGGATCAAGCTGCCCATTAGGATGTGAAGTCCTGGTCCCGCGACGTCCTGACTGCAAACCCGCAGCGTCAGGCGTCTCCATGCTGTCACCGAGCTGCTTCCTTCAAGCGCCACGTCTGCCCCCAGGATCAGGGAGCAGCATGATGGGGGCATCGCTGGGGGGCAGCCCCGGTCCAGAGGACCTGTCGACCCCTGCCCACTTGCCGTCCAGTCCCATGTGGGAGAGTTTCCTTACCATAGGGATCTTGGCATTTTCCAAACATGAGTAACAACAAAGACATTTAACCCAAAAGCAGGGGAGTTAGAATGCCACCTCGGTCTCCTCAGCCCAGGGCACAGCCTGATTCGCGCTGAAATACGGATTCTCCACTGCAGCCTGAGCCGGGCACCCCCGAGAGGCGCTTATGCGTGCACACCCCGGGCGCCAGCTGCCCACCGCCCGCCCGTCCCCTGGGCAGGCCGTCCTCCAGCGTGCACAGGCGCTGCAGGCCGAAGCTGCCTCCACAGAGGCGCGAGCAGGGTGTGCGGAGAAGAGCCCAGGCGGAGAAAGAACACAACGCAAAACCCAACTCAAGACCAAGAAAAGCGCTTGCAGTGAAACCCAGGAAGAGGAGCCTTTGACACAACCTCCGGGCACCGGCGGGCGGAGGCAGGGCGCCAGAGCTCTGGAGGGGGAGAGGCTGAGACTTGGACACACAGAGGCGGGGGCGCCCCGACATGTCCAGGGCCTTGCTAATCAGTGGCCATCAGCACAAGCACATTAAATGAGACGCCACTACAGAGACCCCGGCACCGGGACCCGAGCCGCACGGCAGCCTGGCCCCTGCGCGGCCTCCTCCGAGACAGAGATGGTGACGCGGGAGGGTCATTTTCCCACTGACGCAGAAACACGGGCAGAGAATTATAAACATGTTAAAATCAATTGATTTTGGCTGGGTGCATCTTTTTAGAGCAGATAAACAGAACCTTACTTAAGCTTACAAATGAGGCACATGAAATTATTTCAGCAGAAGCCGCAGGTAGACGAGGACTATGGCAGCTCTTCCCAGTCCTGTAAACAGGAGGGAGGATGGGGGAGCTGGTGAACGAGCAACCAAAAAGGGGGGGGGTCAAGAATGGGGGAAACAGATAAACTCAGATACAGTGAGAGACCAAGACAAAAATGACAAATTCTACAATGGCCATGGAAGACCTGCGTGAGAAGGTGACGTCTGCCCTGTAACCTGACTCTCGAGAATGTTCTGGGCACAGGGGGCAGCAAAAGAGAGTCCTCACCAGGGGAAGGAGCACAGCCTGGCAGGGGCCAGGGAAGCCAGTGTGGCTGGAGCCGGGGCGCTCGGGGAACACAGGTAACATCGAGAGGAGACAACAGGTCGCTCGTGCGGACTATTTAAGGGGGGGTGGAGGGGGTGCCTTTAAGTTTGTTTTTTTCTAAATATAATATAAACCCATTGGCAGAATTTAAGCAGAAGGGTGATGCGCTCTGCTATACATTCTGTAAAAGGGCTCCCAGGTGGTGCAGGGGTTAAAGACAGCGCTGTCAAGCTATTGCCAGCCACTGCAGCACGAGTTCGATTCCGGCCGGCCAGGGAGCTACCCACAGGGCGCGGCAGACCTCTCTTGCCTTGTATTTCAGCAGTGTATTTCAGTAGATGCACCTGTTCTGCTCCCCACTCTGTCTCTGGTGAATCCTCTCACTTCCCCCGCACCTCTGGCCTGTACCCCAGTTCTTGTATGCATCAATAAATTTTAAAAATTTTAAATCTTTTTAAAAAATAAAAGGTCATCTGGCTACTTTGGGGGACAGAAATTTAGGTGGGAAAGACTGAATGTAGAAAGAGCAACTCCGGATGAAGACAGGAACAGCCCTCCAGGAAAGAGCTGCTGTGGGCTGGGTCCGGGGCAGTGACACTGGAAATGACGGGCAGTGGTTAGGTTGGAAAGGCAACATGGGCGCAGAGCTGATGAGACTTGGCGTTAGAATCGGCGTGGAGGGTAAAGGAAAGAGTCAGAGAGGAGCTCCGGGTTTCTGGAGTAAGTCATGGGTGGACGGCGGTGCCAGTAACCGAATTTGCTCAGGGTCGCAGGGGTGGAAGCGGGAATGGAGAGTGTAGCTCCTGCCTTGTTGATCTTGAAAGGACGGGACGTCCCCAAGCGGGGGTGTAAAAGGACAGAGCTGTAAATCTTGTTGGCAAGACCGGGGAGGCACACCCTGGCAACCCATCACCAAGCTCATGTCGTTTAAACTGGTGAAGTAACAGAACAAACACTTACCCTTTCCAGGGGGAACACCGGGGCTCAGAAAGCTGGGTTCACTCTATGAAAGCCGCAGCAACAGATACATCACACCGGTGCAGACAGATCTCCCTGCTCCAAGTCTAGCATCCTTTCTGCCCAGCCACACAGAAGGGGAGGAACAGGCGAGGCAGAAGGAGAAAATGGCCAAAAACGACATGATATTAGCACATTAGGAATTTACTATTTTGATTGCGAGATCATTGATTTAAAGTTTGGCTGCCAAAACCAGCCCTCGCCAGCCCACAGCCCGCTGAGCCGGGGGTGGTGCCTGTGCACACTGTGTGAGACTTTGAAAGGACAAAAAGGAAGGCTGTGGCGGGTCTTGTCCTGTTCACCTTTCCAAGATAGCGCCACCTCTTACCGGCCTGTACTGTACAATAATTGTAAAAGTCGTTGTGGAAGTAGAAATTGTTGTAGAAAACCGACAGCAATGCAAGTGCTTTTCCTTAGAAATTCAAATTGTGTGTGGTGGCGAAGTCACTGGTCACGGCCCTGTGGATTTGACCGGTTTTGCAACTATATGTAAATTCACTTCAGTTCTCCCGATTGCCTCTGTGTGTGTTCTGAATTCTCTGTTGAACTCCTTATAATATGTACTGGTTCCTTTATTAATTAATGATGTAAATAAAAGCTTTACTAGACATTCATTTGCATCTGTCCGAGGATCACGATTTCATTTTCACTAAGATCTACTTTTTACTATTAGAAATTCCAAACACTTTTCTAAAGAATTACTCTTCCAAATTTTGAAGGATTTGTTCTTGTGAAAGGAATTATTTTTTTGAAACTTGAGAAGTATAGGTCAATTTATCAGCAAATAATTAATGAGATTTGCTGATACTGAAGAGCTTGTAGAGAGGTTAAGGCTTCTGCTGTATTCAAATCATTATGTGTGGTTTTGAATCCTTTGTAACTGAATGTCAAAAATTATTTGCAATTGAATGTCGAAACCCCACCCAACCCACCACCCTTGACCACAGACACACACCCCAAGTCAGAGTGAAACATCAACCTACTCCAGACACATCTTTGTCCATGAAGGAGTTGCTTGAGGGTCTTGCCTCGGGCCTACTGGACATTTTTCCTTTCTTTCTTCAAAGATGTATTTATTTATGCATACAAGAACTGGGGTACCGGCCAGAGGTGTGGGAGGTGAGAGGATTCACCAGAGACAGAGTGGGGAGCAGAACAGGCAGACTGACTGAAACACACTGCTGAGGGGAGCAGCGGGGAGACAGGAGAGGTCTACTGGGCCATGTGGGTTGCTCCCTGGCCAGGGATCGAACCCGTGCTGCAGTGGCTGTGGACAACCTCAGAGGTTGTGTCCTAACCCCTTGTGCCACCAGGGAGGCCCATGGACATTTTATATTCAAAATATAAAGCAAAAGTAAATGGCAACATCTCCTCTGTCTTTGGTACAAAAAAGCTGGCACTGAAGATGTGGGTGAAAGAGAGATCAAGGAAACCCAAAGCCAAATGAGAATAGAAAAGAGAGTCAGACATTCAGAGGACCTGACTGGAAGAACAGTGGTGGGCCGGCCCGCGGTCTGTAGGGCGAGACAGGAGAATTCAGCAGGAAGCCTGGAGCTCGGGCTCCACACGTGGCCCAAAGGCCTGCGGGGGAGTCTGGGCCGCTGGCTTCTCTGGGCCCTGCTCCCTAGGAAACCGCAGCCCGTCATCCTTTCTCTGAAAGTAGAACCAGGCAGCACTGGATCTGAGTGGACTCTGAGGGCTGTGCCCGAGGCAGCAACACACAATGGATCCACGGGGCTGCGCAGGATTCATCTCCAACAGCGCCGCCATGTGGTGGCTGGACAGGGACACTGTCCTCGAGGAGACACAATTTTCAGGTTTCCTCTGTGATCACGTTAGAGGCAGCACTGGCTGAACCCTCTGGATGACGCGGCCCCTCCTCCTGGAGTTTGCTTATGTCCTGGAGGAAGGAATGTGGAGGCATATGCATGGGTGATTCGTTAACTGGAAATGAAAAAGCAACATCACCAGCTGTGTCGGGAGCGGCTGAGGCAGCTTCTACTAGTCACGATGGGTTTTCTCTCATCGGATTCCATGTCATGCTCTAACTGGACCTCAGAAGGGGTCATCAGAAAATCAGAAGTGAAATAACAGGAGTTAAACACCCTTTGCAGTTTTTCAGCTGCTTCAAGGTCAGTTCCACCCCGAACGTAGGCACAGGGGTGAGGAGGGCCGCACCCGGGGGGCAATGTGGTCTGTGTCTCAATGCCCCTCTCTGGCAATACAGGTGAGATGAAGACAGGGGTCCCCCAGACCAGACGAGCCTGGCCCTAGCCATCAGAGCTGCGCCACGTGAGGAGAACAAGACCAGGTCCCAGTGCCGTTTTGCTAATGACCACAGAACAAGGTACAAGGTGCCAGCTGTGCCATAGCTGAGGGCATCTTTGCTTCCCACGCCAGCAGGCTGTGGGAAAAAGGAAGAAAAGGTCACAAGCAAGGGTTCTGGAAAGATCCGACAAAGCCCACTGGAACCAGCCCCTCACATAGGTGAGCGGCGCCCCAAGTCAGAAGTCCCAGAATAGACACGAGGCGCTACCACTGCAGCTTTCACTTCCGCGAGACCTGGAGTTGCACTTCCACGTAGACCTGGCGGCCACGGCGGGGCCGGGCGGGCGGGCGTGGTTGAGCCCCTCCACCGCCACAAGGCCGCTTGGCAGAGGCCCCTCAAGGGCAGGCCCCCAGACGAAATCGACTTAGAGCAAAAGTCTCGCTAACGTAGACGCCGCGTCCTACAGGCCACGTGGGTCAGGGTCCCCTCGGTGTCCCCTCCCCGGTGACCTGCATCCCCGCCCCGGCCAGAGACTCCCAGGTGGGCCCAGGGCGCCCCCTCGAACTCCTCTTGTTGCTTTCGGGAGCACCGCCCAGGCTCCAGAGGACAGCGGCGGCCTAGGCGCAGCACTCACAGCGGGACGAGAAAAACGCGTCTTCGTGGGGGAAGGACAGGCGCGCGGTGCCGCTGTGGTCTGCGCGCGGCTCAGCCGGGTCGAGGGAGGAAGACCCGCCTCTGTGGCGACGCCACGGGGCCGCAAGGGCCGTCCGTCGGGAGGAGGAGGGAGATTCTGGGTGGATCGGGCAGCTGTGGAGCAGGGAGAGACCGAGCCCAGCGTCTGCGAAGTCCAGAGCAAGAGCAGGTCCCAGAGAAGGGCCGAGCGCTGAGGCCACGTCGTGGGGGGGGGCGGTGGCGTGGACCACAGGGAGGCCCCTTGGGGGGCGCCGGGTGGAGACACACGCCAGCGGGGTGGAGCCTGCGTCTGCACCGCGTACAGAGCTGTGAACACGGTACACGTTCCACGTTGTCAACAACTTGTTTAAATAGTCAAAAAAAAAAAAAGAGAGAGAGAAACAACCCCAACCCGAGCAGCTGAGGAGCAAGACACATTGTTTACGTTTTCCTGACTCCAAATTTCTGGGTCATTCCCTCGAAGGCCCGGGTTGCCCACGAAACTACACGTGGTTGGGGCCGGGGAAAGGTCAGAGCCACGGCCAGGGCCAGGGTCCCCAGGCTGGACCTGCCCGTCCACGACACAGCCACAAGCAAAGGAGCCGCCCCGGGGCGGGGGGGCCGGCCAGTGACTCTTGTCCCAGCTGACGTGGGGTAAAGGGAGCTGGGGGGGCAGAGCCGGAGCCACAGCGCCCACAAACCCCATGCCCAGTGCGAGGCCGCCGCTCGGTGGCCGGGGTCCCCGGGGCACAGGGGAAGGCGGGAGTGGGGGAAGGGGCTCGGGGAGGGAAGACGGGCAGCAGCGACAGGGCCCAGGTCTCAGGTCCCCGCCCTGGCCTGTCCCGCAGCTGGGGCTGCCACGGTGCCAGCGCCGCTCCCCAGACGCCTGGCCTTCCCCCCTCCCTGCCACAGGGTAGGGAATCTCTTGTTCCCTCCGGAGAGCTCAGCAGCACGCGGGCATGGAAGCTGCTCTCAGGGCCGGCCCCGCCAGACCCGCCGTCCTGGAGGGGAAGCACCCTCGGGCCCCGGGAGCCCGCTCAGAAGTCACGACCGCGGGGACAGCAGCCAGAGCAGGACCCGCCGTGACGCCGAGGGGGGCATCTCGGGTGGGGGAGGAGCAGATCCCCCCCCCCCGACTTCTTCCCCACGGCGGCGTGACATTGACGGGCAAAAGAAACGTTCAGTCTTGGTGGGTTTCACAAGGAAGCCCGAGTCCGACTCCTCATCTGTGAGGAACCAGAGCTGCCGAGTCAGACAGACGCAGCTGGCGGGGCTGGGGGTGCGGCGGGCGGGAGCCCCGGTGAAGGTGTGGAGGCGGGTGACTCGGCGGCCGCAGGGCGTGGGACGTGACTGCGGCCACGGACCTGCGCCGTTAAAATGGCTCGAATGGTCCGTGTAAGTTCTGCACATGTTACAACCGTAAGACTAAAGAGCATGGCTGGAAACCAGTAAGTGGTTCAGAAAAGACCGGCTCAAGCGGTGAATTTGCTGGCCTGTATTTTCATCTTGGACTGCGATGTCCTGTGGGGAAAACAGAAGGTCTGCTGGGGGCCGGCCCGCAGGTGCCCTCTGCCCGGTCCCAGGGGGTGGCCGCGCCCCGGTCCTGACTCGCCGGGCAAGGGGTTCGCGCCCATTTTTTTTGGAAAAGTCAGTTCCCAACCCAGCCCCTCCCGCAGATGGCAGAGTCCCTGCGGGGCTGGGGCTGCTTCCTCGGGTCCCTCCCTCCCTCCTTCCGTCCTCCCCCCACATCTCTCCCTCTCCCACACTGCCCCCCGCCCCCGTGGCCTGCTCTTCTGCTCTCTCTGTGCTTGCTGGAGCATCTCCTCTTACTTTCTCCCTTTCTTGCCTTTTTTGAGTATTCCTGCCTTTTGCTTCCAGTCCCCACTCCCCTCTGGCGAGCCAGGGCGCGGCACCAGGGTAAGCGGAGACGCCATAAAGATACCAAAGGCCTGACCTACCCCCGGGCCCCACACCCAGGGGGTCTGACCAGGGCTGGACTCTGTCCAGCTTGTGTTTGGGCCAAAGGCTTGCCTGCGAGGGCCCAGGTCTGG